CCATGCAGCTACCATCAAAGTTTAATTTCTTCCATCTAGCACATAGAGGTGACCAGGCCTCATGTACTTTTTGTCCTCTAGAGGAGTGAGCTATCAGTCCCCACGAGCTGAAGATACCTTCAACCTTAAAGTCAGCAAAGAGCTTTAAAGTTTTCACCCAATGTGCCACCTTAAGGTTATAACTTCTATCACGGCTCCCTTACTCCTTTCTTTGTCTTCAAAGATTCTTAAGTTCCTTTCTTCCCAAATTGTCCAAACTACTACTGCTCTAGCCTCTAGTGCATCTCCCCTTAACCTGCCTCTTCTTTTAGAGCAACTAAAAATATGAGAGCAAAACAATCCTTCCAGACTATCAGGAGGAAGCCATCTGCAACCAAAAAGATACAAAAAACACTCTAAAATAGAGATAGCAAAAGGATAGGATATTAAAAAATGAAGCGCCAGCTTGGGGACAAGCACCAATTTGGTCGTTTCCTGAAGCAATTCACGAGTATTAATGGAGCCATGATATACTTCCCAACAGAAAGCATCGACTTTTGGAGGAAAAGGCAGAGGCCAAATCTCCTTAACAGGGAAAGAAGGAAAAGGGGAGGTGGCTACAAGAGAATTCAGAAATGACTTGCAAGAAAAAAGCCCTTATTTGATTAAGGGCCCACACTCTGGAATCTAAACCACCATCCCCAAGACCACTGAATTCAACAGGCCAAGCAGAGCAGAAACACTGGAATTTTCCAATTCTCTAAGGTTTCTAGTAAAGCCTAGGTTCCAATTCAGACCTGAATGGGATAAGGATGAGTTGATAAAATGACACACAGGTTTTCCTTTAAAACTAGAGAGATCAAAGAGAGAAGGAAAGACCTCAGATAAGGGGGAACCCCAACCCTCAAGCAGCCCGCATCCCGCCCATTGTTTGACAGCCCACGGATACTTGATATATAACTCTAGTCCACAACTTTACATTTTCTTTAGGGAATCTCCAGAGCCATTTTCTCAACAAAGCCATATTTTTCAACTTAACATTTCCAATGCCTAGTCCCCCTCCCTCCTTCAATTGTACCACCTTGTCCCATCTAACCAAGTGTTCTTTCTTCCCTTCCCCAGGCTCCTAAAGGAACTCTCTCATAACCTTTTCAATTCTCTTTAGCACTGCTTGGGGCATCCTAAAAACCGGCAAGTAGTACACTGGGAGATTTGCTAGAGTGAACTTGATTAATATAATTCTCCCTCCCATTGAGATATAATTCCTTTTCAAGCTTGCTAGCCTTCTCTCAAACCTTTCCATTACTGGGGTGCAAAAACCAACTGATCTAGGATTGCCACCAAGGGGCAATCCTAAATAACACAGAGGCCAATTCCCCTTCTCACAACCTAACAAATCTATCTTTGTTCTCAAATCACCATCTTCCAAGTTGATACCAACCAATAAACTTTTAGACCAGTTGATTTTCAAATTGGAAATCCTCTCAAAGAGCTTAACTACTAACTTCATATTTTCTACCCCTTCCCTGCCTTCCCCATCACAAAAAACCATAATATCATCTACAGACTACAAGTAGGAGACCAAAACTCTATCTCTTCCTACTACCCAACCCTTAAACAGCTGCATGGAGTTTTTTTTTTTTTTTGTAAAAGGTAAGGTAATTTATTCATTCAAAGAAACATTACAATAGAGCCCAGGCCATTAAAGGCTGCCTAGGACCACCTCAGATTACAATCTCATCCAAGACTGAGAACAAAACAACAGACGCAAATTTTGAAGTTTAAATTCCTCCACCACCGACACCCAAGACAATAACTTGCCCACAGCTCTCTGCACTATCTCATCTAGACTTTTAGTTTTACCATGAAAAATTCTGTTATTTCTCTCAGTCCAAATAGCCCAAATAACAGCTGCCAGAATGGTGTTCCAAACCAATTTTCCTTTCTTGCTGCATGGAGTTACCATTAGAGATCAGCTTACATAAGACCTCAGCTACTAGTGTAAAGAGAAAGGGAGAGAGCGGATCACCTTGTCTAAGACCTCGAAGCCCCTCAATGAAATCATCTGCTGGCCCATTAACTATAACAAAGAAGTGGTTTGTTTGCAAACAACCTCTGACTCATTTACACCATAATACCCCAAAGCTACACCTCGTCATAATATTAATCAAGAAATCCTAGTCCATTAAATCATAAGCTTTCTCCAAGTCCAACTTGATTGTTATTCCCTTCTTCTTTAACCTTTTCTAAGCCTCCACACATTCATTTGCAATTAAGAGGGGAGTACCTTTTTTAAGTCTTGGAGATAGTACCTTGGCAATTATCTTATAGATACAAATCACTAGGCTTATAGGTCAAGGTAACCCAGGACCTTCTGGAATAGGAGGAGTCTTGAGAGATAAGGACAGTAACATCTTAGCCTTATTTCTGGCTCAGTGGGTTTGGGAGACTCTAATAGGGCTGAACTGTTAGCAGCCTTACAAGGTATTCAAACTGCACATCAACTTGGGGTGGAAAACCTAATACTTGAAGGAGATTCTAAAGTTGTTGTGGGATGGCTGACAGATTCAGATTCAGCGGTTGGGTGCTACAGGGACCTGATAAAGAAAGCTAAGTGGTTAACTAGAAATATGAATATCAACCTACACTGGGTGGGAAGGTCGGATACTGCGTTGGCTGATTGTCTTGCCAAACAAGGGGTCAATAGGGAAATTTGTACTGGGCTGTTTTGTAATTTTTCGCCACTGTTGTCTGTGTAATTTTCTTGTACTTTTCTTTTAAGGAGAGGTTGCACCTTGTGCCTCTCCTTGGGATGCCTGTACTATCTATAATTTGATTAATAATAAAATCACAATTCAATAACAAAAAAAATCACTAGGCTTATAGGTCTGAAATCCCCTGCCTGGGTGGCATCTTTCTTATTTGGGATCAAGGCTAAGAAAGGTTGAATTCATCCCCAGGCTGATTACACCCCTTCTATGGAATTCCTAAAAACTTTAATCAACTCATCTTTAATTATCTAACAGCAATCTTGATAGAAAGCCATTGTGAATCCATCAAGCTTGGGAGCCTTAGATCTATCCATAGACAAAACTGCTTCCTTAATTTCAACCTCCTCAAACCTTTTCTCCAAAATCTCCACTTGATTTTCTCCCAAACAATCCCATTCAAGCCCATCCAATGGACACCTCTCATTGATTGGCCTGCGATATATTGATCTGAAATGGTCTACAAAGCAATTTCACCTTCATCTGTTATTTCAATCCCCCCCCACCAATAAAGATGAGATTGAGCTCTTCCTTTTTCTACCATTTGCTATAGCATGGAAAATTTTGTGTTTCCATCCCCTTCCTTAATTCACCTCTCCCTAGACTTCTGCTTTCAGCTGATCTCCTCTCTCAATAAAGCAACCTCTAGCTCTTTTCCGTATCATGATCATCTAGTACACTCAGCATCTCCTTCCTATCAATCTCCTCAATTTGTGAAATTAGGATGGCCCAAACCTAACTTTGTTCCATTCTTTAATTTCTCCTTTCAAGATTTGCAGCTTTTTCAGAAACTTCTGACCTTCCCAAATAGGTTTTGGAACTTGGGTGTCCCACCAATCCTTACCTTTTCCTTGAATTCCTGATGGGTAAGCCACTATATTTGGATGGCCAACATTTCCACCGATCAATGTTGTCAAAATCTTATGATTTGTGATACAATTCGAATCTTATGTCCAAATCCTTTCTACAAAAATCTTATGATTTTTGTTTTAATCCTACGATTTATACAATTCAAATAAATTCAATTAAGAATTAGTTCCCTACTTTGTTATGCTTTTGTTTATATTTAGTTTTGTCATGGGAGATTTTTTAAGCCCTTACTTGAAAATGATTTATTTACGCTATTTAAGACTAGAAATTGAATTTATTTTACTTCATATGTAGCATAAAAAGCCATTGCGTGTGGATTTGTTTGACTTACATGAGAATTATTCCCACGATGATCCATGGAGGAGTTGGGCTTGGGAAGCAGTGGCTTCTACTATAGTTGCCAAGGCCTAGGCAACAAGGCACCCTTGGAGGCTCACCTCGCCTAATCGCCAAGCAGTTTTGTACAATGTATATGAAATACTGTTATATTCTTGGTTTTTTGAGATTATAATTAAAATAGACATTATTGAACTAAAATATTCATTTTGTGTGTTTATATACTAATTTCATTTTATTATTTTCTTATTTGTTAGGGTTTAATCAACACAGGCATTGCTAAATGCTGTGTCGAACACTCAAAGACTTCAAAACCTGAACCAATAAGTAAGGATGAACTTAAAATTTTGTCTAATCAATAAAAAGGTGGAAGCCTGCCTCAAAGACTTCCACCTTTTTTCTTTTCTTCCTTTCCTATAACAAAAATAAGTGTTCAGCCCCTATATTTTTTGAACTTTCTTTTTCTTTCTTCTTTTTCTTCTCATGAATATGTTGACTTCCTATGTTTTGACATGAAGCTTATACTTTTCTTATGAATAATTATTAAGGAAATATGGTTATGGTACCTAGCAAACTACGATATATGTTTTTTACTTAAAAAAATCCATGTCTTGTAAAATTAGGTATGGATGAGGATCTTTAAGCTCAGGAAAAGTCTTTCAATTAGGATTTAAACCTAGAGCTACAACTATCAGCTATGGCTCACTCCCCTAACTGTTTGCTGTCAAAAGTACCCCAAGAAAAAGCCATGTTCAACCTGCAGATATCAACCCTTGCTTCAACCCCAACGAAAAAGAAATCCTCTAAAACCCCGCCTCATTTGTTCGATTTCAACAGCCCCTATTCTCTACGCATTCAATAAATACTAATATCCAGTCCCACTTTATCCTGAATCGTCTAAAGACTTACCTATCCTTTTTCTTCTAATTTATCTTAAGCAGAATAATCTTCGCTTTAGAACTTCACGAAGAACCGTATATAAATATTAAAACTTGGACAAAATCTGGGCAAAAGAACATATGAAAATAAAGAGGTAAAAACCCAAACCTGATCGGAGGAATCGTTTCGCTTGGCTTTGTTGATTACAAGGTCCTCCCTCTTAACGTTCTCCCCATATTTAGAGACGAATTGGGATCTCGTCATGTTAAGTTCAAAGTCTCCAACCAAATAACCACGATCCTTGAGCATTTGTATCACGGTTCGCCGGATTCGAAAAAGCCTTGTGATCTCATCTTCGCTTGAAGACATCTTTGTACTTGTTTTACGAACGAGGGCGAAAGTGAGCGAGCAGTTCCGATTATCGACACCTAAAAACACAAGCGACGTGAGGAGGCTTTAGAAGTTGCGCCCAACAAGTTTAAGTATCAAAGCATCAATATGCGTATCGACTATGTGTCGCATGTATCACACAGTGTCAACGCGATACAAGATGATACAGTCGATACCTCCGGAGGGTTTCGACAAAGGACTAACAATTCAAAGGAAACTGAGAGTGTTTTCTTCCTTTTTCTTCTCCGGCTAGCTGTTGCAACTCTTTTGGGTTTAGACTCTGGAGCTTCTAACAGTACTAATTGGGGATATCTAACCTACGAATACATTTAGATTTAAGCTTCACGAAAGAGAAAGATACGCGGCCAGCACAGCAATATTTTTGGCTCCTACCCGTTGAAGAAGAGCTTTCGACCGCCTCTTGATTTTCATATCTATACCTAATCTTAACCCCTGAACCCCTAAGGGTGCGTTTGGAAACAATGCAAATGGAGCCTAAATCTGGTTCAGGGTAAATTTGCACTCTAGTTCACTTTTGCCTATATTTGGCAATATTACATTTATGCATTGATGCATATTTACATTGAAAATAAGATGTAAAAGTACATCAATAAAAAAGAAGTAAATTTGCATTCAAGTTGATTTTTGATAAAAAAAAAAGCATATACTTTATTGGAATTCATGTTTACATCCATTACAACTTAAAGTCTGACAAGAAAGGTAAATTTGTCAATGCAAAAACAACCTAATTTTGCAATTTATATGAACCATTTTACACTCTACATATTTGCATTTGTTTCCAAACGCAGCCTAAATAATAACTTATCAAAAAAAAAAACTAAAAACTAAACCCCAAAATGTAAGCCACCCGATATCTATTCAAAGAGTCCATATCCACTGCACAATCCTTAAGGCTATGTTTGGTTTGAAGAAAAAGATAGGAAAAGGAAGGGAAAGACAGAAAAACCAATATAAGGTTTGTAAAGGTTTCCTTACCTTTCCCTTCCTTTCCTTATATTTTCCTTCAAACCAAACATAGCCTAAGAGATTCATGTATATCAAAGAGAGTGTCATGTCACCATTCTCTCAATACTTAAGTTTCACGTGTTCCAGTGGGGGTAAGAGACGATTCAAACATCCACTCCTTCTATTTTTAATATATTAAAATTTTAAAACAAATAAAAAATATGGATTAGGGTTTCTTCATCCTATTTAGTTCAAATAAAAAATAAGAATTTACATAGCTGAAACTAATCAGAGCATCGTCGGCGAGTTGTCATGGTATCAGAGCATCGATCCTATAGTGAGGGCATTCGAGCGGTGATCCTACAGTGATTGGCCATCCGTGCCGAGCCTAGAACGGTCGGTGAGCCCAACCTTACCTCCTCCTATGTTAGTGGTAGCAGCGATCTTGGCGGCGATCTCCTTGGCCGCGTGCTTCTTAGCTTTATCCTTCCAGTCATGGTTGGTTCTCTCTCCGCCTGATGATCAACGACAAATCACCCGAAAACCAGGAGAGATAAATAGAAGTTCGGAGCAGCGATAAAGTTGTGTCGTCTACCTTCGAGAAGTTTGGAGCAGCGATAAAGTCGTGTCGTCTATCTCCGATGTTGGAAGACAGACGCAGCCGGATAGGTGATCACCTCTTCCTCCGCCCTGCGGACGCAGCCAGATCGTGTCGTCTATCTCCGACGTCGGAAGTCGGATGCAACCAGATAGGCGATCACCTCTTCCTCCGCCCTGCGGACGCAGCCGGATAGGCAATCTCCAAAGGACCTCTGCACGTTCAATCTGCTGGGCAAATTTATCGATTTTGTGGAGCATCTACGGAGATCAGCATCAAGATCACGTTCTTGAGTGCAAACGGTTTTTTTGACCAACAAGAGGAACTCAGATTCCTTTGTCGAGATTGCAAACTCGATGTTTGATTCCCGAGATTTTTCACCTCTTCCTCCGCCCTGTGGCACTAAGCTCTTCTGCTCCGAGACGCCATTAGCAGGGACACCCTTCGGTAGATACAACCTTGTCCGATTCAAAAACCTTAGATCCAGTTGGGGAACAACGATTCGATCCTACCCTCACCGAATTGACCACCAGAATGGCTGAAATCCTGCACAGACCAACCTCGACTACAGAGACTCCTGTCGCATAGATTGGCATCAAGTTGGACGGCACCAACTATGCTCTTTGGTCCCAAGTTGTTGAGATGTATATCTCTGGCAAAGACAAATTGGGATATATTAATGGCGAGCTTCCCCAACCTCCTCAGACTGACCCAACCTTTTGAAGGTGGCGCACGGACAACGCTATTGTCAAGGGCAGGTTAATTAACTCCAAGGACGTATCCTTGATCGGTTAACTTTATCTGATTCCCTACGACAAAGATGGTGTGGGATTCTATTGCTACTACCTACTTTGATGGCAGTGATACCTCGCAAGTATATGATCTCCGACGCCGTGTGACCCGCTTGCACCAGTCTGGAGGATCTATTGAAAAATATTATAATGATCTCCAAGGTTTGTGGCGTGAAATTGATTTTCGCCGTCCAAATCCAACGGAGTGTGTTGCAGATATTCAACGGTATAATAATCTTCTTCAAGAAGAGAGTGTATATTTTCTTAGATGGCATTGATGACAAACTTGACAAGATTCGAGCAAATGTACTCCAAATGCACCCGTTTCCCACTATTGAACAATCATACGCACATGTTCGTAGGGAAGCTATCCGGCAAAAGGTCATGATCACTGGTAACAATATTGAAACTTCAGGAGCTGTTTTGGCCTCCAAAAGTGTTAAAACGGGACAACCTACTTCATCCTCAACAGGCTCTCTTTCTTTGAGCAACGGAAAAACTGGTATGTCCTCTAAATCTCGAACATCTTCTGATAAAACTAAGTGTTCTAATTGTGGTAATTCGAAGTATACCCGGGAGAATTGCTTCAAACTACATGGCTACCCCGACTGGTGGCATGAACTCGAAGCCCGGAAATGTCAAGACAAGGCTAAAACTAGTGGTAAGGCCGCGATGGTTACAGCAAAACCCCAACTGTCACTCACACCGCCTGTTGAACTACCACAAGCAGACGTACACCTCTCAGATTCAGGTAAAAATCTTCCCCACAACACTGTTGATAGCAATGCATGGATACTTGACTCGGGGGCTACCGACCACATGACCTGTGATGCCATTGATTTTTCAAAAACTTCACCACCAAGACGAATTACAATTGCTAATGCCAATGGGGCTATATCTCCAGTCATAGGAGCAGGCACTGTGACCTTGTCACCTACAATATCCTTAAAGAACACTTTGTTTGTTCCCTCTCTCTCCCATAAATTACTATCTGTTAGCCAAATTTCCACGGATCTAAATTGTGTTATGCTCATCTATCCTACTTTTTGTCTTCTTCAGGATATTCTCACCAAGGAGATAATTAGGCATGGTACTAGGAGGGGGGGGCTCTACTACATGGATGATCTTAGCATGGGTCGAGCACACCATGCACATCATCAAAGTAATACCAAAGAACAATAGATTTGGATCTGGCATCACCGGTTGGGACATCCATCATTTGGTTACATGAAGCATTTATTTCCGGATTTATTTACAGATATGCAGCCTCGTGATTTTCAATGTGAAACTTGCATCTTACCTAAGAGTCATAGAACTATCTATCCTTTAAGTATGAATAAAAGTAAAGTTCCATTTGCTCTAATTCACTCTGATGTGTGGCGGCCATCCCCGGTAACTACGGTGTCTGGGTTTCGCTGGTTTGTAATCTTTGTTGATGACTGCACTCACATGACATGGTTATATCTAATGAAACATAAAGATGAAGTGTTGATTGTATTTCAATCTTTCCATATGATGGTGAAGACTCAGTTCTCAGCTAAAATTTAGGTTCTCAGGTCTAATAATGGCGGGGAATACATAATCAACAGTTCCAAGATTATTTCTAGATTCATGGACTACTTCATGAGACTTCATGTCCACAGACTTCGCAGCAAAATGGCATTGCTGAGAGAAAGAATCGGCACATACTCAAAACTGCTCATGCTTTGCTACTTGGAGCACATGTACCTAACCGACATTGGGCTGATGCTGTTGCTACTGCTGTGCACCTCCTTAATTGAATGCCATCACGCGTCTTACATTTTAAGACACCATTACAAACTCTTTCATCACATGTCTCTCTGCCATCCGTGTTGATGATTCCACCTCGAGTTTTTGGCTATGTGGCATTCGTACATCTGCATAAAAATCAACGCACAAAACTTGATCCATGAGCAACGCGATGCTTATTTGTGGGATATGCGTTACATCAGAAGGGATACCAATGTTATGATCCCGCCACCCAACGGACCTATGTTACCATGGATGTTACTTTTTTGAAATCCGAAACATTCTACTCTCCTTTTGAAACCAATTCTTCTCTTCAAGGGGAGAGTCAGAGTGTAGAACAGAACTGGTTTCTTCCCGATTGGCTGAATAATAATGATTCAACAAAAAATGCGGTCAATGAAGAACCTTCTACAACTGGTGTAGTTTCAAGAGAGACGTCTACAACATCGGAAACGTCTACATCACCATCGCCACTTCCAGCAGAAGAAATAGAGACCCCAACCTCCATAGTACCCGAAGACCCATCTCCTGAGAATATTCCTGAAGCGAATGACCCTGAGGTAAACTCTCCTACTATGCCTTCAAGCTCTAATGATATGAATACTTCTGCTAGTTACACTTTATCTTTCAGGCACAATCGCGGCAAACCGCCAAATAGATATTCTCCAGATATTGAGGACCGGAGGTCAAAGTATCTAATTGCCAATTATGTATCAACAAAGAGACTCTCCAAACCTCTCAAAGCATTTATGCAAGAATTATCCTCACATCATATTCCCACCAGTGTTCAAGAAGCTCTGACAAACCCGAAATGGACACAGGCCATACAGGAAGAAATGGAGGCACTATTGAAGAACAAAACATGGACTCTTGTTATCTTGCCCGAAGGAAAGAAACCTATAGGGTGTAAGTGGGTATTTTCCATTAAATAAAAAGCAGATGGGTCAATCGAGAGATACAAAGCGAGGCTGGTCGCGAAAGGTTATACTCAAACACATGGCGTAGATTATCAAGAGACCTTCTCACCAGTGGCCAAATTGAATACGGTTAGAGTTTTATTATCTCTTGCAGCAAACCTTGATTGGCCGCTACACCAGTTCGACGTAAAGAATGCTTTCCTCCATGGTGACCTTGAAGAGGAGGTGTACATGGACATCCCACTTGGTTATACAGCAAATTCCAAGACCAAAGTTGTGTGTAAACTACAACGAGCACTATATGGACTGAAACAATCACCGCGAGCATGGTTTGGGTGGTTTAGTCTTGCGATGAAGAAACATGGCTTTCAACAAAGC